CCAGCATTAGGAAATTTGGTATAGAAATTAAAGTAGACTAAGACAGAAGACCTAAAGAATATACATGACATCAAACTCAAATAAAGTTGACAAGCAGAGAGTACTCTTTCTGGATTGATACACATGGTAACAGTAAAACTTAGACAAAATAAAACTGGATTAGAGGTTATCTCTAGGAAGCATGGGATGAAATTATGATAAGGGATTCACAAGGGGCTTTCTGATTTGACAATGGGTTTCTTCATGATTTGATGGTAATTTCACAAGAGTTCATTACATTATCACTAGAGATCTATCATGTATCATATCTATCTATAATCATTTATATTATATAATATGTGATGTCTGTAATATATAAGATAGATATCTAGTAAACATAATTACCTCTTATTTTTATCTATATAATAGATGCAATATAGATAATATCTATATAATATACAATATAGCTATCTAGTAATAATATGTTATATAAATAGATGATAGTAATAATATAGTAAAATCTCCTATGCACTTTTTATGTGGTAAATTTTACAATAAAAATGCCACAAAAATGTATTTGCAAACTGATAAAATAATCAACATTAATATTAAAAAGAGGTTGTACTCTTTATGTGATAATGAATCTTATAAATTCATCTAAAAGAAAGAAAATTGGTGGTTCCCAAATATATAACTTATAAAATTAAATAAGTCACTAAGAAGATAATGAAATGTTAATAGTAATTTACATTAATAAAATACTATAAATGTTTGTCACTCACTAAACTGGAAAAAATTAACAAAAAATAGTTCCTCACTGCGAAAATATTTTTAAATAATCATTTTCATGTACTGGCATTGTGGGTAAGAGTTGATTCAGACATGTCTTGAAAGAAATTAATATATATATACAAGATTATTTAAAACCCATTGATTTCTTTGACTTTAATCTTTCAAATCTTTTACTTTTACTCAGTAATTAGGCTTATATAATGGATGTCCATCGTGGTATTACTTATTATTTAAGTAATAACTAAATTCAGTGTCCAAAAATGGGAGATCTATCCAGATCCCGGGAAATAGGCAGCTACTACAGTGATCAGGTGAAGACACATGTCACAGGAGTCCAAATGTCAGAGTCAAGCAAACCTGCTTAAATAGAGACCTCTTTTGAACCTGGGTGAACTTTTCAGCTTCAGTTGCCTCATGTATAAACCCAAGGATAATAAAACACACGTCTTTCACTGCTAGGAGGATTAAATAAAGGGATATATGTCAAATGCTAGGAAGCTCTTGATTTGGTGTGTTGTGATAAAAAGAGAAAAAGCAAGTTCCAGAACAAAATCTTGCAAAAGACCCTGATTTGTGGGCACAGGAGCAAGAGGAAGAATCTATAGGTGCTGAAAGATTGATTTTGAAATTATATACTCCAGACTCATAAATAGGTATCTTTTAGTTCCTTCTTTTTCTATACCTTCTAATTTTGTAATGGCACATATTCTTTTTTAAGTATAATCATATTTATTGAAAAATTCCATTAATTTAGAATAAAAATAAATGTTTAATAATGATAATTTGGGAGAAATGTTGTAGATTTTTTATTGATTTTTTAAAAATAAATGACAGTGGAATGCATTACAATTCTTATTACATGTATACAGCACAATTTTTCATATCTCTGGTTGTGTATAAAGTATGTTGACACCAATTTGTGTCTTCATACGTGTCCTTTGGATGATGATGTCTATCACATTCCATCATCCTTGCTAATCCCCTGCCCCCTCCCTTTTCCTCCCACCCCTCTTCCCTATGTGGAATTCATCTATTCCTCCCATGCTCCCCCTCCCTACCCCACTATGAGTCAGCTTCCTTATATCAGAGAAAACATTCGGCATTTGTTTTTTGGGGATTGGCTAACTTCACTTAGCATTATCTTCTCCAACTTCATCCATTTACCTGCAAATGCCATGGTTTTATTCTCTTTTATTGCTGATAAAATTCCATTGTGTATATAGGAAAACTGGAAATGGAACCACCATTTGACCCAGTTATCTATCTCCTCTGTCTATACCCAAAGGACTTTAAAACAGCATATTATAGGGTCACAGCCACATGTTTATAGCAGCACAATTCACAATAGCTAAACTGTGGAGCCAAACTAGATGCCTTTCAGTGGATGAATTGGTTAAAAGAAAAGTAATGGCACATATTCTGACAAGTTTTTTTTTATTATTATTATGAGAAAAATCCTTCATAAAATGAATGCACTACCTTCCACAAATCCAAATGTCACAGCAAGTATGACACTCTTCTTTGACATTCCCAGCTCCCAGCCCACTGTCTCATCACTGGGTGCTGTCCCTTAGCCCCTATGGGTTGTTGCTCCAAGTAGACCAGCTGCATAGATCTAAACTCTTGATTTCCTCTTTCATTTTACAACAGTGACCCTTGGGCCCCTTTCAGCTTTTAAGATTCAAGTTTTGCCCTGATGCCTTCCTCAGTCCAAGTGCCCAGAATGAGGAAGTAGGATTTCAGTCTTCCTTTGTCAGGATTGGAAAATCAATCATTCTTATCAGTTCCTGATTCCCAGGGGACAGTCCTAGCCCTCTGTCCTGTACTCCCAAGGATCTGACTTCCATCCTAGGCTCAGGAACCCATCTGAAAACCTAGGATGGAGAGCCAAAATATCAGCTTGTTAAGTGAGGTACTCATGGAAATGCTCTTCAGCTTCAGCCTGGAATTCTGGCAAGGATAGAAACTGGAGGGATAATTTCAAGAAAATTCCCTATCTCTGAAACCTGGTAGAAAAAGTTTACATTCCAACTTGGCATCCAAAGGGAATCACAGTTCTTCTGTGATCAGGAGTTGGGGCCTAAGAGAATTGAACAAACTCCCTTCGTTCCCTAAGCCTGTAAACTTGCCCACTCCTTCAACATATTTTGTTTTCCTAGACTTAATCCATTTATTGGATCAAAGTATTTTGTTACATTATATAAAATATCACTTTTATTTGGCTATCCCTCCAAATGACTAAGAAAGAAAATTTGTACAATATGGAGACTTTCTTAATTTCAAAGGACTGGGGAAAAATGTATACTGTATTCAAAATTATTTTTACTTTTTGGGAATGGGGAGCTATGTAGCAAGGAGAAAGGAAGATTTGGTTCTATCTCCATTGTTTTAGTTTCTTAAAGGAGAATTTATTCTTATATGTCATTATATAATTTTAAAATTAATTTAATATAGTAAACAGGAAAAAATGCAGCCGTGACATTACGTACTCAGGGAGCATATCAGTCAGTGTTCTCCAGAAACCAATAGAATTATATACGTACATACATAAGATTGTCCCTGGGACTTAATGATGATGGAACTCATGATTTTTTTGGCTTTACAATGATGCAAAAGATATATGTATTCAGTAGGAATGGTACTTGAATTTTTATTTTGAGCTTTTCTTGGACTAGCAGTATGTAGTATGTTACACTCTTATGATGCTGAGAATGGAAATTTTGTGCCACAGCTTCCAGTCAGCCATGTAATCAGGAGAGTGAGTAACTGATATTCTATAGTGTACAGTATTGCTACAGCATTCATAACTTGCATGAGATAGTCATTGCTCTATTGTAAAATAGATTTTGTGTTATATAATAAATAGATTGTCCTACTGTGGGCTAATCTAAGTGCTCTTAGCACATTTAAGGTTGTCTATGCTAAATTAGGATGTTCAGTAGATTAGATGTATTACATACACTTATAACTTATGAAATGTTCAATTTAGAATGTGCACACTAGGATGTCACCCCACTGTAAGCCAACTCACCAGCTAAGGTCCACCCACATTAGTGAGGGTCATCTGCTTCACTCTGTGTCAAGTGATATCAGATGTTAATTACATCTATAAAAGACCCTTATCACAACACTTAAACTAGGGTTTGGCCAAACATCTGAACACCCACAGCCTAATCAGGTTGATACATAAAATTTAACAACTACAGGGAATTTCTTCTGGCTCTTCTTATCTTCTCCTCCAAACAGAAGCTMTGTGGCTTCAGTCTCAGATCTGTGCATTCTTAAAAGGAACCTGCCCAGACCTTTTGAGCTGATGTCTCTGTTGGGCCATTTGGCTTTGAGTTCAAGTTTCTCCAGCATCCCTGCAGCCACACACTCTTCCCATGAGCTTGTTCTGCAATCTGAGTCTAGCTCACTCTGGTGCCTTGGCCTCTGTTCATTCTGGGCCACAGACATCACACCGATAACAAGATCCATTTGAAGAATCATTTGAAGTATTGGCATTATAAATGAGAGGCATTCATGCTTTTTGTTATTGTTTTACTAATTACACATATTTCAGCAGAACTTTAATATTACAGTCTTATGAAATTCTGCCAAAGGATAGAAAAGAGAACCCATAATCATTCTACCCTAAAATAACCACTCTTAACATTTTAGTATACTTCAGCCTTTTTCCTATGTGTATAATTTTGTAGAGTTGTAATCATACCCAATATATAATTTTATCATGTTTTCCCACTTACCATTATACTATAAGTATTTTTAATCTAGTCATAGAGTCTTCAAGGTTGTCACTGTTAATCGTTACACAATAGTTCACTGAATTGAAAGGCTTGATTCACTTAACTATCTTGTTATCTATACAATTTCCAATTTCTTCTTATAATAAGTAGGCACTACAATCTTTGTACAAAGATTGCAGTGTTCTTTTTCACACCTTGAACTTTCTCATGGAGTTAAAATTACTTGGCCAAAGAATAAAACTTCTGTTGTTTGTTTTAGTCTCTTGCTACACATTTCTAAAAATATTTTAAGGCACATTAATTTACTATGCTGCTGATGTAAATGTGGACCATGTTGTCATTATTCTCTTGAGATTCAGACTTCCACATGTGAGGATAAGGGCCCAGAAGGAACATATCCAGCACCAATGCCTGCACTGTACATTCAGAAAAGTAGCCTGGTCCTTACAGTACAGGTGTTCTGTGTTTCTCTGCTCCTTACAGACTGAGCAGTTGATAACCCTGTGGGTCCTCTTTGTATTCACCATTGTTGGAAATGCAGTCGTGCTGTTCTCCACGTGGAGGAGGAAGAGGAAGTCCAGAATGACCTTCTTTGTGACTCAGCTGGCCATCACAGGTGAGCAACTGTTTCAGTGGGAGAGAAAGAAGTTGTGTGCACAATCCCTATGGCTCCTGCTTTTGATTATTCTACCAATAGAAATGCAGTGCTAGCAGTCAAAAGATATCAGTAAACTCAGGGRAGCAATTTCTATAAAACTGATGTTTGAATATTTCCTTTAACAAATTTAACACATTTATATGCCAGTGAAATATAAAAATAAGTTCTTATATTCAGAATTGGAAATACCATTGTTAATATCACCAAAGGGTTCTATAGGGTTTTCTTATACATAGCAGTCTCCCTAGTTCACTAAGATAATATCGCCATATCATCCCATATTGGGAACTTAAGTAATACATCCTAAGAAATGAACCAGAAAGATCTCTATTCAATAATAAAAAGAGAAGTGTTAAGTACGTTGCAGACTAAATCCTGTGGTACTGCTTTCAAAGTGCAAGTGAAGGTGTAGCACCTCTGCTGGAGGGGTATGAGGAAGCAAGATGACATCCAGGATCTGAATGTTTAAATGTAAACTTTGGGAATGGCCTACTTGGTAGATGTGCAAGCACAGCACTTCTGGAAGGGGAAATGGCAAAATATCAAGAAAGACGGTGATCTATGAAGGGAAGACCCCAATGGGAATGTTTAGAGGCCAGATTGGTAGAGTTCATGTTCAAAAAGAAAAGGAAAATACAACCAGGAAGAGAGTAGCATTCCATAAGGCCAGAGAAGAGAGTGGGCAAATGAGACTCACAGAGGTTCCAGACTAAGCCTGGCTGGAGTCCTGAGCTCTGGGAGCAAGATGGCTGTCATATTACTTTAATTTGGATCAGTCTATAATGGAATATCAGTGGCATATAAATGTGTTAAAATGCAAACAAATTTTTAAGTCTTAAGTGTAAACAAGGATTGATGTTAGATGACTTTCAAAAGGATCTATTTAGTGCAGTTCAACCTGTGCTGTCATCCCAGTTGCAGTACTGGCAAAGGAATTCTTGGAATTTAGCCTTGAGCCAAAATATGAAAAATATGACATTAACCTATAGGAGAACCTTAGTTATGCCTCATTACCAACCTGGATCCCCCTTTCTTTGCTTATGTATTGTAGCAAGACTCTGAGGAAAGTCGACACAACCTGAGCTACTTGAGCTATGAGAAAGACATCATTAAAAAGTGTAAAGAAGGGCTGGAGTTGTGGCTCAGTGGTAAAACACTTGCCTAGCAAGTGTGAGGCACTGGGTTCCATCCTCAGCACCACATAAAAATAAATAAATAAAATAAAGGTATTGTGTCCATCTACAACTAAAAAAGAAAAAAAAACATTTAAAAAGTATAGAGAATGTAAGAACCACCTAAGCCCTAAAGGTGGGACACGTGATGGGGGAAATCTCTTTCAGTCATTGCTATGAACAGGAGTCCAATTATTCACTCTCACAGCTGTAGAGGAGTAGAGAGTGGTAATCGTCATCCAGTAAATCCTAGGATGCAAAATACCTGATTGAGAGCATCACAACTTACTTCATCACATTTCTCTGATTACAGTGCCGTAACCCATATTCTCTGAAACTATGTATTCTCTGAGAGTATAAAAACTTAGAGGTGGCAAGGATGTCAACTTGGAATTTAAGGTCTTGCCACAAATAACAGATCAATCATGGAAATTTCACCATTATTACCAAAGAGAAAAGATGTATGTTCTGTTCTAATTCATAGTCTAATGAACCCAGGTTTGATTTCTCATGAATGTTCTAGACCGACTGTTAACACTTTCTGGAGAAACTGAAGATATCAGGTGTGGAGCAATTCATGCAAAGAATAATTCTCAAAAAGCACAAATGGTCTAAGATAAAGGCTCAGAGGGTCTATGATTAAACTGCTTATATAAGATATGAAAATGTCATTTCTACCCATCTCTCCATGATTTCACATCCTTGGGATGGGAGTGAGGGTACATCTCTGAGGCTGGAGTACGTTTGTAAAAGTTACTTAGGTATCAACTGAGAGACCCCATTCATTGAGATTTATATTTTGATTTGATTTGAATCCCCTACCCTAAGTCAATGTTATGCCCAAAGTTTCTGTAAATTTTCTGAACCCTATATTTGTATCACTTTTGGTTCTTGCTTCGTACTCAACTATTAATCTCTCATGTCACCAGCATCTTGTGTTATTTAACTTGGGTTTGTTGCTGCTGTTCCATGCTGTTCCTGTCAAGGCACTCAGCCCTTTTCCTTTACTTTTTAAAATCATCCACAGAAATAGGCCTTACTATGCTTAAAAGGCTTTACTGAACATTTCAGGCAATATAAGGATATCATATCAATGAAAAGTAAATTATCTTAGAATATTTTGTGTTTTTAAAACTTTCAGCTGCCACTAGACATTTCTCAATGTTACCTTGCTCTATCAGCCTTGTGTTTTATCTTCACTTTTTTACTTTTTTTCACTTTTGAATGTCTATTATCGTATGCCAAGGAGCTTTGATTTTTCTATTCTGTTTTTATTCCTATCAAACCATCGCATATTTTCCAAAGAAAACAGCAAAATTTTTAAACTAAAGAAGTAATTTCCTAAAAAAAAGAAAGAAGAAAAAGTGCCATAGAACCAGTGACAATAATAAACAGACAAGCAAAAACACATATTCATATTTCTATTTACATGTCATAACATGTAAATAAACTGGTTTGAATTGTAGAAAACTGCATGATAAGTAATGTTAGCTCAATAACATATTATACCTTCAGCTTTCAAAAATTTTGAGATGGTTCATTTTAGACAAACTCTGCTGCCTACAGTATTAGAAAATCTGAACACATTTAAAAAATTATTAGAGGGCATCATGTGATTACCAAAATAGCTAAGACTTGAATGACCAAGATAACCTTATAAAAGAGAACACCAAGGTTAAATACATTACTTGATACCACTATTCCCATCTAGGAATCAATTTAAAAGCAGAAGCAGAATCTTGAAAAGTGGAATAGAGTCTTTAGTAGTCTTATCGGACTTATAGGACAAAAATTTCTCTGCCCAGGCATAGCAGCTTTTTTAATACCAGTATCTCTGATGGGGCTACTGACATGCTACAACTTATAAGAGTGAACTGAAAATAGACCAGCCCTCACAAAGACTAAAAGAAACCTCCAACACTAAATGGAATCAGATGATCTATGTGCTACCTCTATATGTACCTAAGCTATCTTTCAGAACAAAAGTAAATCCACTTTAGAGGATGATAATATTATAAAAAATGTTAAATTAACTATACTTTTTCATTTACAGTTTTTCATTTCATAAAAATAATCAGAAATGCAAAAGACAAGAATTGACCAAAGACAAGGAGAAAAGTAGACAAGGAAAATTGTGGCATAAGAGATCTAGCAATTGGAATTAACAGTTATAAAATTTATAACTATTGCTAATCTGTTCAAGAAACTGAAAGACTGAAAGTCCTAGAAAGAAATAACAGGAAACTTAAAAAATGAAAATTTTAACATAACTAAAACTAAGAATACAATAGTAGAGTTTAGCAGTAAATTAAATATAGCTGAAGAGAAATTATTGAACTGGAGAATAGGTCAGAAGGAAATAATCAGATTGAAGCATGGAAAAATGAAGGATGGAAACTACAGAAAGAAAGAAAACAGCATATGGGCACAATGAAAAAACTCTCAGAAAGAGATAAGATAGAATGGACGGAAACAATAGTTGAAGGTATGATGGCTGGTAATTTCCCCAAACTCCTGAAAGACATTAAACCATGGATTCAAAGCACCACAAAGTTGTGCAGATTTTTTTTTAAAGTCAAACAGAGAATCAGAACATAGGAAATGATGAGATTATGTAAAATCTCCAAAATCTTGAATTTAAGTAAATAAAAACTATTAACTGAATTCACTTATATTTTATTTTTAAAGGTGTGCTCATATTTTAAGGATACATCCTAAACTATGTATAGATAAACTAAAAATATGTCTTTTATTTACTTCAAAACAATTTGAGGGCAATGGTGGGCAGTGATACATATTTTCCGAAATTGAAAATTACTGAAGCTTGATGGTAAGTACATGGGTTCTTAAACTATTCTCTCTAATTTTCATGTTTGAACTCTTCTTTTTTTTTTTTT